CGGCAGCCCAAAAAATATTTGGAAATGTTTTAGTTACCATTTTAGGCAACTGCAATGTTGTCATAGCGTTTTAAAATCTGGATAAGAATGCTGTCAACGCATACATTTTTAATGCGGTGATCCTGCAAATAGGATGGATAGTCAATGGAAGAATATCACAATTTATTAATTAACAACGATTCAATTATGTCAACGTTTGGTTAACGATTTAAGCAGCGGAATGGGACCCCTCAGATACAATTATTTTTTCCTATGACACCTTCTTACGACAGCAAAAATTAAAGTAGAATTTCAAGACGTCATTATTAATTTGACTATTGTTAAAGCAGATCGCCCAGCAGTTGGATCAAAAGATGCTTTATGTCAAAATGGGTCTTGTAAAAGCAGACCTCCCCAGAGAGCAAACTTTAGATTTTGATGCAACATTGATGAATTTAATGGGCGCTGATCTCGTAAAAGCAGATCACCCAGCAGAGCCGGTTATATAATATGATGAAAACTTGTTTTATAGTAAAAAGTATTTAATTTTATGTCTGGCTCTATTTCATTATCAACCAATTTGAAACTTTATTACAAATTTATTTTCTTCAAATTTATACTCTAATGAAGTATATTCTTATGAGAATGTATAGTAATTATAAATATTCTTGTCCAACATGCAAAAGATTAAATTCTGAATTAATTGTAACAGCAAATAGTCTCTATTTACAGCTGATATTAATTTATAGTTTTTGTTAAAGATGTTGCACTCCTAGACAGAGAAGATGGAAACTTCATGGTAGATAGCACATGAGGAGGAGTCGCATGTAAGTATTTGGTCATTACAATTGTACTTAAAACTATGTTAATATTTGTGAGACAATAAAAAATTGGTCTAAAATTTCTTTTATTCAAATTTAGACTCTAATGAGGTATATTTTAATAAGAATGTATAGTTATTGTAAATTAATTGTCCCTAATTTAAGATTTGACATGACACATGCATCACATTAATTTTTGAATTAATTGCAACAGCAAAAAGTCTCTATTTAAAGCTGAAACTAATTTAAAGTTTTTGTTTTTGTTAGATACAGCCTAAATATGTGACCGTCCTATACCATGAAAATGGTTCCATTGAAGTTCAAGAGGATGATGTTGCATGTAGGTATTTGGTCATTACAAATGTTCTTAAAGCTATGTTTATATGTGTGAGGTAATAAAAATCAGTTTTTCCTGGAATAGCAGGCAACTTTATTACAAATTGGTCTACACTTTCGTCTTTTATGCCTGTTTAAGGGACGATTATGGTATACTGCAGGAATAATTTTACTATATAGTTAAGTGGCCCTTAAAATTGGCCGGCAGCCCAAAAAATATTTGGAAATGTTTTAGTTACCATTTTAGGCAACTGCAATGTTGTCATAGCGTTTTAAAATCTGGATAAGAATGCTGTCAACGCATACATTTTTAATGCGGTGATCCTGCAAATAGGATGGATAGTCAATGGAAGAATATCACAATTTATTAATTAACAACGATTCAATTATGTCAACGTTTGGTTAACGATTTAAGCAGCGGAATGGGACCCCTCAGATACAGGGTTCGACATTAACTTTTATACCAACTTGTCCAGTTGGGCAAGTGCCCTATTACTTTTACTTGTCCGAAAGTGAAATCTACATGCCCAAACTTTTACATGCTATTTTTGTGGTTGTAATGTAGTACATGCAGATAAAATATAGTTATCATGTATATGGGGTGTAAATTGATTATGGAGTATGAAAATATACTATTGGATCATTTACATAGAGATACTTATTTCATAATAATTTATCTAAGAAATGCCATTTCAAAAAACCCTTCTTGATAAACTGACAAATTTGTTAAAGTTTAATTTCATTTTCTCTTTCAAGCTTTTACGTTTTTCCATCTTAGGGAAATACACATCCGATGTCAAATTATAAAGTTAGAACAACGAAAATAGACCTCCGCTTTCCATTGGTCGGTGGGAATAACACGTGCGTCGGAAACGCCCGAGTGGTGTCCCGATGGATAACGATAATGACGAAGCAACGCCGCGGCCGCCTGATTGGCCAATATTTTTAAACGTGATCTATTTTTGGTAAAATGGGGAATTCAGTGCGAACAATTGACGAAATATACGCATTGAAGGGGGGTTAAGACCACTTTACTCGACCGTGCGGTGTTATCACTGAGTAATCTATGGACAAAACAACAGACACTATTGATTTTGTGAAATTTTAACCATATAACACTTTTTTTTTCACTTGCCCGATCGGACAACCAAGATGATGTTTTTACTTGTCCGAATACGGCATTAGCTTGCCCCGGGCAATCGGACAACCGTAAGTGTCGGACCCTGAGATACAATTATTTTTTCCTATGACACCTTCTTACGACAGCAAAAATTAAAGTAGAATTTCAAGACGTCATTATTAATTTGACTATTGTTAAAGCAGATCGCCCAGCAGTTGGATCAAAAGATGCTTTATGTCAAAATGGGTCTTGTAAAAGCAGACCTCCCCAGAGAGCAAACTTTAGATTTTGATGCAACATTGATGAATTTAATGGGCGCTGATTTCGTAAAAGCAGATCACCCAGCAGAGCCGGTTATATAATATGATGAAAACTTGTTTTATAGTAAAAAGTATTTAATTTTATGTCTGGCTCTATTTCATTATCAACCAATTTGAAACTTTATTACAAATTTATTTTCTTCAAATTTATACTCTAATGAAGTATATTCTTATGAGAATGTATAGTAATTATAAATATTCTTGTCCAACATGCAAAAGATTAAATTCTGAATTAATTGTAACAGCAAATAGTCTCTATTTACAGCTGATATTAATTTATAGTTTTTGTTAAAGATGTTGCACTCCTAGACAGAGAAGATGGAAACTTCATGGTAGATAGCACATGAGGAGGAGTCGCATGTAAGTATTTGGTCATTACAATTGTACTTAAAACTATGTTAATATTTGTGAGACAATAAAAAATTGGTCTAAAATTTCTTTTATTCAAATTTAGACTCTAATGAGGTATATTTTAATAAGAATGTATAGTTATTGTAAATTAATTGTCCCTAATTTAAGATTTGACATGACACATGCATCACATTAATTTTTGAATTAATTGCAACAGCAAAAAGTCTCTATTTAAAGCTGAAACTAATTTAAAGTTTTTGTTTTTGTTAGATACAGCCTAAATATGTGACCGTCCTATACCATGAAAATGGTTCCATTGAAGTTCAAGAGGATGATGTTGCATGTAGGTATTTGGTCATTACAAATGTTCTTAAAGCTATGTTTATATGTGTGAGGTAATAAAAATCAGTTTTTCCTGGAATAGCAGGCAACTTTATTACAAATTGGTCTACACTTTCGTCTTTTATGCCTGTTTAAGGGACGATTATGGTATACTGCAGGAATAATTTTACTATATAGTTAAGTGGCCCTTAAAATTGGCCGGCAGCCCAAAAAATATTTGGAAATGTTTTAGTTACCATTTTAGGCAACTGCAATGTTGTCATAGCGTTTTAAAATCTGGATAAGAATGCTGTCAACGCATACATTTTTAATGCGGTGATCCTGCAAATAGGATGGATAGTCAATGGAAGAATATCACAATTTATTAATTAACAACGATTCAATTATGTCAACGTTTGGTTAACGATTTAAGCAGCGGAATGGGACCCCTCAGATACAGGGTTCGACATTAACTTTTATACCAACTTGTCCAGTTGGGCAAGTGCCCTATTACTTTTACTTGTCCGAAAGTGAAATCTACATGCCCAAACTTTTACATGCTATTTTTGTGGTTGTAATGTAGTACATGCAGATAAAATATAGTTATCATGTATATGGGGTGTAAATTGATTATGGAGTATGAAAATATACTATTGGATCATTTACATAGAGATACTTATTTCATAATAATTTATCTAAGAAATGCCATTTCAAAAAACCCTTCTTGATAAACTGACAAATTTGTTAAAGTTTAATTTCATTTTCTCTTTCAAGCTTTTACGTTTTTCCATCTTAGGGAAATACACATCCGATGTCAAATTATAAAGTTAGAACAACGAAAATAGACCTCCGCTTTCCATTGGTCGGTGGGAATAACACGTGCGTCGGAAACGCCCGAGTGGTGTCCCGATGGATAACGATAATGACGAAGCAACGCCGCGGCCGCCTGATTGGCCAATATTTTTAAACGTGATCTATTTTTGGTAAAATGGGGAATTCAGTGCGAACAATTGACGAAATATACGCATTGAAGGGGGGTTAAGACCACTTTACTCGACCGTGCGGTGTTATCACTGAGTAATCTATGGACAAAACAACAGACACTATTGATTTTGTGAAATTTTAACCATATAACACTTTTTTTTTCACTTGCCCGATCGGACAACCAAGATGATGTTTTTACTTGTCCGAATACGGCATTAGCTTGCCCCGGGCAATCGGACAACCGTAAGTGTCGGACCCTGAGATACAATTATTTTTTCCTATGACACCTTCTTACGACAGCAAAAATTAAAGTAGAATTTCAAGACGTCATTATTAATTTGACTATTGTTAAAGCAGATCGCCCAGCAGTTGGATCAAAAGATGCTTTATGTCAAAATGGGTCTTGTAAAAGCAGACCTCCCCAGAGAGCAAACTTTAGATTTTGATGCAACATTGATGAATTTAATGGGCGCTGATTTCGTAAAAGCAGATCACCCAGCAGAGCCGGTTATATAATATGATGAAAACTTGTTTTATAGTAAAAAGTATTTAATTTTATGTCTGGCTCTATTTCATTATCAACCAATTTGAAACTTTATTACAAATTTATTTTCTTCAAATTTATACTCTAATGAAGTATATTCTTATGAGAATGTATAGTAATTATAAATATTCTTGTCCAACATGCAAAAGATTAAATTCTGAATTAATTGTAACAGCAAATAGTCTCTATTTACAGCTGATATTAATTTATAGTTTTTGTTAAAGATGTTGCACTCCTAGACAGAGAAGATGGAAACTTCATGGTAGATAGCACATGAGGAGGAGTCGCATGTAAGTATTTGGTCATTACAATTGTACTTAAAACTATGTTAATATTTGTGAGACAATAAAAAATTGGTCTAAAATTTCTTTTATTCAAATTTAGACTCTAATGAGGTATATTTTAATAAGAATGTATAGTTATTGTAAATTAATTGTCCCTAATTTAAGATTTGACATGACACATGCATCACATTAATTTTTGAATTAATTGCAACAGCAAAAAGTCTCTATTTAAAGCTGAAACTAATTTAAAGTTTTTGTTTTTGTTAGATACAGCCTAAATATGTGACCGTCCTATACCATGAAAATGGTTCCATTGAAGTTCAAGAGGATGATGTTGCATGTAGGTATTTGGTCATTACAAATGTTCTTAAAGCTATGTTTATATGTGTGAGGTGATAAAAATCAGTTTTTCCTGGAATAGCAGGCAACTTTATTACAAATTGGTCTACACTTTCGTCTTTTATGCCTGTTTAAGGGACGATTATGGTATACTGCAGGAATAATTTTACTATATAGTTAAGTGGCCCTTAAAATTGGCCGGCAGCCCAAAAAATATTTGGAAATGTTTTAGTTACCATTTTAGGCAACTGCAATGTTGTCATAGCGTTTTAAAATCTGGATAAGAATGCTGTCAACGCATACATTTTTAATGCGGTGATCCCTGCAAATAGGATGGATAGTCAATGGAAGAATATCACAATTTATTAATTAACAACGATTCAATTATGTCAACGTTTGGTTAACGATTTAAGCAGAGGAATGGGACCCCTCAGATACAATTATTTTTTCCTATGACACCTTCTTACGACAGCAAAAATTAAAGTAGAATTTCAAGACGTCATTATTAATTTGACTATTGTTAAAGCAGATCGCCCAGCAGTTGGATCAAAAGATGCTTTATGTCAAAATGGGTCTTGTAAAAGCAGACCTCCCCAGAGAGCAAACTTTAGATTTTGATGCAACATTGATGAATTTAATGGGCGCTGATCTCGTAAAAGCAGATCACCCAGCAGAGCCGGTTATATAATATGATGAAAACTTGTTTTATAGTAAAAAGTATTTAATTTTATGTCTGGCTCTATTTCATTATCAACCAATTTGAAACTTTATTACAAATTTATTTTCTTTAAATTTATACTCTAATGAAGTATATTCTTATGAGAATGTATAGTAATTATAAATATTCTTGTCCAACATGCAAAAGATTAAATTCTGAATTAATTGTAACAGCAAATAGTCTCTATTTACAGCTGATATTAATTTATAGTTTTTGTTAAAGATGTTGCACTCCTAGACAGAGAAGATGGAAACTTCATGGTAGATAGCACATGAGGAGGAGTCGCATGTAAGTATTTGGTCATTACAATTGTACTTAAAACTATGTTAATATTTGTGAGACAATAAAAAATTGGTCTAAAATTTCTTTTATTCAAATTTAGACTCTAATGAGGTATATTTTAATAAGAATGTATAGTTATTGTAAATTAATTGTCCCTAATTTAAGATTTGACATGACACATGCATCACATTAATTTTTGAATTAATTGCAACAGCAAAAAGTCTCTATTTAAAGCTGAAACTAATTTAAAGTTTTTGTTTTTGTTAGATACAGCCTAAATATGTGACCGTCCTATACCATGAAAATGGTTCCATTGAAGTTCAAGAGGATGATGTTGCATGTAGGTATTTGGTCATTACAAATGTTCTTAAAGCTATGTTTATATGTGTGAAGTAATAAAAATCAGTTTTTCCTGGAATAGCAGGCAACTTTATTACAAATTGGTCTACACTTTCGTCTTTTCTGCCTGTTTAAGGGACGATTATGGTATACTGCAGGAATAATTTTACTATATAGTTAAGTGGCCCTTAAAATTGGCCGGCAGCCCAAAAAATATTTGGAAATGTTTTAGTTACCATTTTAGGCAACTGCAATGTTGTCATAGCGTTTTAAAATCTGGATAAGAATGCTGTCAACGCATACATTTTTAATGCGGTGATCCTGCAAATAGGATGGATAGTCAATGGAAGAATATCACAATTTATTAATTAACAACGATTCAATTATGTCAACGTTTGGTTAACGATTTAAGCAGCGGAATGGGACCCCTCAGATACAATTATTTTTTCCTATGACACCTTCTTACGACAGCAAAAATTAAAGTAGAATTTCAAGACGTCATTATTAATTTGACTATTGTTAAAGCAGATCGCCCAGCAGTTGGATCAAAAGATGCTTTATGTCAAAATGGGTCTTGTAAAAGCAGACCTCCCCAGAGAGCAAACTTTAGATTTTGATGCAACATTGATGAATTTAATGGGCGCTGATCTCGTAAAAGCAGATCACCCAGCAGAGCCGGTTATATAATATGATGAAAACTTGTTTTATAGTAAAAAGTATTTAATTTTATGTCTGGCTCTATTTCATTATCAACCAATTTGAAACTTTATTACAAATTTATTTTCTTCAAATTTATACTATAATGAAGTATATTCTTATGAGAATGTATAGTAATTATAAATATTCTTGTCCAACATGCAAAAGATTAAATTCTGAATTAATTGTAACAGCAAATAGTCTCTATTTACAGCTGATATTAATTTATAGTTTTTGTTAAAGATGTTGCACTCCTAGACAGAGAAGATGGAAACTTCATGGTAGATAGCACATGAGGAGGAGTCGCATGTAAGTATTTGGTCATTACAATTGTACTTAAAACTATGTTAATATTTGTGAGACAATAAAAAATTGGTCTAAAATTTCTTTTATTCAAATTTAGACTCTAATGAGGTATATTTTAATAAGAATGTATAGTTATTGTAAATTAATTGTCCCTAATTTAAGATTTGACATGACACATGCATCACATTAATTTTTGAATTAATTGCAACAGCAAAAAGTCTCTATTTAAAGCTGAAACTAATTTAAAGTTTTTGTTTTTGTTAGATACAGCCTAAATATGTGACCGTCCTATACCATGAAAATGGTTCCATTGAAGTTCAAGAGGATGATGTTGCATGTAGGTATTTGGTCATTACAAATGTTCTTAAAGCTATGTTTATATGTGTGAGGTAATAAAAATCAGTTTTTCCTGGAATAGCAGGCAACTTTATTACAAATTGGTCTACACTTTCGTCTTTTATGCCTGTTTAAGGGACGATTATGGTATACTGCAGGAATAATTTTACTATATAGTTAAGTGGCCCTTAAAATTGGCCGGCAGCCCAAAAAATATTTGGAAATGTTTTAGTTACCATTTTAGGCAACTGCAATGTTGTCATAGCGTTTTAAAATCTGGATAAGAATGCTGTCAACGCATACATTTTTAATGCGGTGATCCTGCAAATAGGATGGATAGTCAATGGAAGAATATCACATTTTATTAATTAACAAAGATTCAATTATGTCAACGTTTGGTTAACGATTTAAGCAGCGGAATGGGACCCCTCAGATACAATTATTTTTTCCTATGACACCTTCTTACGACAGCAAAAATTAAAGTAGAATTTCAAGACGTCATTATTAATTTGACTATTGTTAAAGCAGATCGCCCAGCAGTTGGATCAAAAGATGCTTTATGTCAAAATGGGTCTCGTAAAAGCAGACCTCCCCAGAGAGCAAACTTTAGATTTGATGCAACATTGATGAATTTAATGGGCGCTGATCTCGTAAAAGCAGATCACCCAGCAGAGCCGGTTATATAATATGATGAAAACTTGTTTTATAGTAAAAAGTATTTAATTTTATGTCTGGCTCTATTTCATTATCAACCAATTTGAAACTTTATTACAAATTTATCTTCTTCAAATTTATACTATAATGAAGTATATTCTTATGAGAATGTATAGTAATTATAAATATTCTTGTCCAACATGCAAAAGATTAAATTCTGAATTAATTGTAACAGCAAATAGTCTCTATTTACAGCTGATATTAATTTATAGTTTTTGTTAAAGATGTTGCACTCCTAGACAGAGAAGATGGAAACTTCATGGTAGATAGCACATGAGGAGGAGTCGCATGTAAGTATTTGGTCATTACAATTGTACTTAAAACTATGTTAATATTTGTGAGACAATAAAAAATTGGTCTAAAATTTCTTTTATTCAAATTTAGACTCTAATGAGGTATATTTTAATAAGAATGTATAGTTATTGTAAATTAATTGTCCTTAATTTAAGATTTGACATGACACATGCATCACATTAATTTTTGAATTAATTGCAACAGCAAAAAGTCTCTATTTCAAGCTGAAACTAATTTAAAGTTTTTGTTTTTGTTAGATACAGCCTAAATATGTGACCGTCCTATACCATGAAAATGGTTCCATTGAAGTTCAAGAGGATGATGTTGCATGTAGGTATTTGGTCATTACAAATGTTCTTAAAGCTATGTTTATATGTGTGAGGTAATAAAAATCAGTTTTTCCTGGAATAGCAGGCAACTTTATTACAAATTGGTCTACACTTTCGTCTTTTATGCCTGTTTAAGGGACGATTATGGTATACTGCAGGAATAATTTTACTATATAGTTAAGTGGCCCTTAAAATTGGCCGGCAGCCCAAAAAATATTTGGAAATGTTTTAGTTACCATTTTAGGCAACTGCAATGTTGTCATAGCGTTTTAAAATCTGGATAAGAATGCTGTCAACGCATACATTTTTAATGCGGTGATCCTGCAAATAGGATGGATAGTCAATGGAAGAATATCACAATTTATTAATTAACAACGATTCAATTATGTCAACGTTTGGTTAACGATTTAAGCAGCGGAATGGGAACCCTCAGATACAATTATTTTTTCCTATGACACCTTCTTACGACAGCAAAAATTAAAGTAGAATTTCAAGACGTCATTATTAATTTGACCATTGTTAAAGCAGATCGCCCAGCAGTTGGATCAAAAGATGCTTTATGTCAAAATGGGTCTTGTAAAAGCAGACCTCCCCAGAGAGCAAACTTTAGATTTTGATGCAACATTGATGAATTTAATGGGCGCTGATCTCGTAAAAGCAGATCACCCAGCAGAGCCGGTTATATAATATGATGAAAACTTGTTTTATAGTAAAAAGTATTTAATTTTATGTCTGGCTCTATTTCATTATCAACCAATTTGAAACTTTATTACAAATTTATTTTCTTCAAATTTATACTATAATGAAGTATATTCTTATGAGAATGTATAGTAATTATAAATATTCTTGTCCAACATGCAAAAGATTAAATTCTGAATTAATTGTAACAGCAAATAGTCTCTATTTACAGCTGATATTAATTTATAGTTTTTGTTAAAGATGTTGCACTCCTAGACAGAGAAGATGGAAACTTCATGGTAGATAGCACATGAGGAGGAGTCGCATGTAAGTATTTGGTCATTACAATTGTACTTAAAACTATGTTAATATTTGTGAGACAATAAAAAATTGGTCTAAAATTTCTTTTATTCAAATTTAGACTCTAATGAGGTATATTTTAATAAGAATGTATAGTTATTGTAAATTAATTTTCCCTAATTTAAGATTTGACATGACACATGCATCACATTAATTTTTGAATTAATTGCAACAGCAAAAAGTCTCTATTTAAAGCTGAAACTAATTTAAAGTTTTTGTTTTTGTTAGATACAGCCTAAATATGTGACCGTCCTATACCATGAAAATGGTTCCATTGAAGTTCAAGAGGATGATGTTGCATGTAGGTATTTGGTCATTACAAATGTTCTTAAAGCTATGTTTATATGTGTGAGGTAATAAAAATCAGTTTTTTCCTGGAATAGCAGGCAACTTTATTACAAATTGGTTTACAATTTTGTTTTTTATGCCTGTTTAAGGGACGATTATGGTATACTGCAGGAATAATTTTACTATATAGTTAAGTGGCCCTTAAAATTGGCCGGCAGCCCAAAAAATATTTGGAAATGTTTTAGTTACCATTTTAGGCAACTTCAATGTTGTCATAGCGTTTTAAAATCTGGATAAGAATGCTGTCAACGCATACATTTTTAATGCGGTGATCCTGCAAATAGGATGGATAGTCAATGGAAGAATATCACAATTTATTAATTAACAACGATTCAATTATGTCAACGTTTGGTTAACGATTTAAGCGACGGAATGGGACCCCTCAGATACAATTATTTTTTGCTATGACACCTTCTTACGACAGCAAAAATTAAAGTAGAATTTCAAGACGTCATTATTAATTGGACTATTGTTAAAGCAGATCGCCCAGCAGTTGGATAAAAAGATGCTTTATGTCAAAATGGGTCTCGTAAAAGCAGACCTCCCCAGAGAGCAAACTTTAGATTTTGATGCAACATTGATGAATTTAATGGGCGCTGATCTCGTAAAAGCAGATCACCCAGCAGAGCCGGTTATATAATATGATGAAAACTTGTTTTATAGTAAAAAGTATTTAATTTTATGTCTGGTTCTATTTCATTATCAACCAATTTGAAATTTATTACAAATTTATTTTCTTCAAATTTATACTCTAATGAAGTATATTCTTATGAGAATGTATAGTAATTATAAATATTCTTGTCCAACATGCAAAAGATTAAATTCTGAATTAATTGTAACAGCAAATAGTCTCTATTTACAGCTGATATTAATTTATAGTTTTTGTTAAAGATGTTGCACTCCTAGACAGAGAAGATGGAAACTTCATGGTAGATAGCACATGAGGAGGAGTCGCATGTAAGTATTTGGTCATTACAATTGTACTTAAAACTATGTTAATATTTGTGAGACAATAAAAAATTGGTCTAAAATTTCTTTTATTCAAATTTAGACTCTAATGAGGTATATTTTAATAAGAATGTATAGTTATTGTAAATTAATTGTCCCTAATTTAAGATTTGACATGACACATGCATCACATTAATTTTTGAATTAATTGCAACAGCAAAAAGTCTCTATTTAAAGCTGAAACTAATTTAAAGTTTTTGTTTTTGTTAGATACAGCCTAAATATGTGACCGTCCTATACCATGAAAATGGTTCCATTGAAGTTCAAGAGGATGATGTTGCATGTAGGTATTTGGTCATTACAAATGTTCTTAAAGCTATGTTTATATGTGTGAGGTAATAAAAATCAGTTTTTCCTGGAATAGCAGGCAACTTTATTACAAATTGGTCTACAATTTCGTCTTTTCTGCCTGTTTAAGGGACGATTATGGTATACTGCAGGAATAATTTTACTATATAGTTAAGTGGCCCTTAAAATTGGCCGGCAGCCCAAAAAATATTTGGAAATGTTTTAGTTACCATTTTAGGCAACTGCAATGTTGTCATAGCGTTTTAAAATCTGGATAAGAATGCTGTCAACGCATACATTTTTAATGCGGTGATCCTGCAAATAGGATGGATAGTCAATGGAAGAATATCACAATTTATTAATTAACAACGATTCAATTATGTCAACGTTTGGTTAACGATTTAAGCAGCGGAATGGGAACCCTCAGATACAATTATTTTTTCCTATGACACCTTCTTACGACAGCAAAAATTAAAGTAGAATTTCAAGACGTCATTATTAATTTGACCATTGTTAAAGCAGATCGCCCAGCAGTTGGATCAAAAGATGCTTTATGTCAAAATGGGTCTTGTAAAAGCAGACCTCCCCAGAGAGCAAACTTTAGATTTTGATGCAACATTGATGAATTTAATGGGCGCTGATCTCGTAAAAGCAGATCACCCAGCAGAGCCGGTTATATAATATGATGAAAACTTGTTTTATAGTAAAAAGTATTTAATTTTATGTCTGGTTCTATTTCATTATCAACCAATTTGAAATTTATTACAAATTTATTTTCTTCAAATTTATACTCTAATGAAGTATATTCTTATGAGAATGTATAGTAATTATAAATATTCTTGTCCAACATGCAAAAGATTAAATTCTGAATTAATTGTAACAGCAAATAGTCTCTATTTACAGCTGATATTAATTTATAGTTTTTGTTAAAGATGTTGCACTCCTAGACAGAGAAGATGGAAACTTCATGGTAGATAGCACATGAGGAGGAGTCGCATGTAAGTATTTGGTCATTACAATTGTACTTAAAACTATGTTAATATTTGTGAGACAATAAAAAATTGGTCTAAAATTTCTTTTATTCAAATTTAGACTCTAATGAGGTATATTTTAATAAGAATGTATAGTTATTGTAAATGTCCCTAATTTAAGATTTGACATGAAACATGCATAAGAATGTATAGTGTACAATTTGGAGTTTAGTATGGCGTTCATTATCACTGAACTAGTATATATATTTGTTTAGGGGCCAGCTGAAGGACGCCTCCAGGTGCGGGAATTTCTCGCTGCATTGAAGACCTGTTGGTGTCCTTCTGCTGTTGTCTGTTCTGTGGTCGGGTTGTTGTCTCTTTGACACATTCCCCATTTCCATTCTCAATTTTATCACATTAATTTTTGAATTAATTGCAACAGCAAAAAGTCTCTATTTAAAGCTGAAACTAATTTAAAGTTTTTGTTTTTGTTAGATACAGCCTAAATATGTGACAGTCCTATACTATGAAAATGGTTCCATTGAAGTTCAAGAGGATGATGTTGCATGTAGGTATTTGGTCATTACAATTGTTCTTAAAGATATGTTTATATGTGTGAGGTAATAAAAATCAGTTTTTCCTGGAATAGCAGGCAACTTTATTATAAATTGGTCTACAATTTCGTCTTTTATGCCTGTTTAAGGGACGATTATGGTATACTGCAGGAATAATTTTACTATATAGTGAAGTGGCCGTTAAAATTGGCCGGCAGCCCAAAAAATATTTGGAAATGTTTTAGTTACCATTTTAGGCAACTTCAATGTTGTCATAGCGTTTTAAAATCTGGATAAGAATGCTGTCAACGCATACATTTTTAATGCGGTGATCCTGCAAATAGGATGGATAGTCAATGGAAGAATATCACAATTTATTAATTAACAATGATTCAATTATGTCAACGTTTGGTTAACGATTTAAGCAGCGGAATGGGAACCCTCAGATACAATTATTTTTTCCTATGACACCTTCTTACGACAGCAAAAATTAAAGTAGAATTTCAAGACGTCATTATTAATTTGACCATTGTTAAAGCAGATTGCCCAGCAGTTGGATCAAAAGATGCTTTATGTCAAAATGGGTCTTGTAAAAGCAGACCTCCCCAGAGAGCAAACTTTAGATTTTGATGCAACATTGATGAATTTAATGGGCGCTGATCTCGTAAAAGCAGATCACCCAGCAGAGCCGGTTATATAATATGATGAAAACTTGTTTTATAGTAAAAAGTATTTAATTTTATGTCTGGTTCTATTTCATTATCAACCAATTTGAAATTTATTACAAATTTATTTTCTTCAAATTTATACTCTAATGAAGTATATTCTTATGAGAATGTATAGTAATTATAAATATTCTTGTCCAACATGCAAAAGATTAAATTCTGAATTAATTGTAACAGCAAATAGTCTCTATTTACAGCTGATATTAATTTATAGTTTTTGTTAAAGATGTTGCACTCCTAGACAGAGAAGATGGAAACTTCATGGTAGATAGCACATGAGGAGGAGTCGCATGTAAGTATTTGGTCATTACAATTGTACTTAAAACTATGTTAATATTTGTGAGACAATAAAAAATTGGTCTAAAATTTCTTTTATTCAAATTTAGACTCTAATGAGGTATATTTTAATAAGAATGTATAGTTATTGTAAATATCCCTAATTTAAGATTTGACATGAAACATGCATAAGAATGTATAGTGTACAATTTGGAGTTTAGTATGGCGTTCATTATCACTGAACTAGTATATATATTTGTTTAGGGGCCAGCTGAAGGACGCCTCCAGGTGCGGGAATTTCTCGCTGCATTGAAGACCTGTTGGTGTCCTTCTGCTGTTGTCTGTTCTGTGGTCGGGTTGTTGTCTCTTTGACACATTCCTTATTTCCATTCTCAATTTTATCACATTAATTTTTGAATTAATTGCAACAGCAAAAAGTCTCTATTTAAAGCTGAAACTAATTTAAAGTTTTTGTTTTTGTTAGATACAGCCTAAATATGTGACAGTCCTATACTATGAAAATGGTTCCATTGAAGTTCAAGAGGATGATGTTGCATGTAGGTATTTGGTCATTACAATTGTTCTTAAAGATATGTTTATATGTGTGAGGTAATAAAAATCAGTTTTTCCTGGAATAGCAGGCAACTTTATTATAAATTGGTCTACAATTTCGTCTTTTATGCCTGTTTAAGGGACGATTATGGTATACTGCAGGAATAATTTTACTATATAGTGAAGTGGCCGTTAAAATTGGCCGGCAGCCCAAAAAATATTTGGAAATGTTTTAGTTACCATTTTAGGCAACTTCAATGTTGTCATAGCGTTTTAAAATCTGGATAAGAATGCTGTCAACGCATACATTTTTAATGCGGTGATCCTGCAAATAGGATGGATAGTCAATGGAAGAATATCACAATTTATTAATTAACAATGATTCAATTATGTCAACGTTTGGTTAACGATTTAAGCGACGGAATGGGACCCCTCAGATACAATTATCTTTTGCTATGACACCTTCTTACAACAGCAAAAATTAAAGTAGAATTTCAAGACGTCATTATTAATTTGACTATTGTTAAAGCAGATTGCCCAGCAGTTGGATAAAAAGATGCTTTATGTCAAAATGGGTCTCGTAAAAGCAGACCTCCCCAGAGAGCAAACTTTAGATTTTGATGCAACATTGATGAATTTAATGGGCGCTGATCTCGTAAAAGCAGATCACCCAGCAGAGCCGGTTATATAATATGATGAAAACTTGTTTTATAGTAAAAAGTATTTAATTTTATGTCTGGTTCTATTTCATTATCAACCAATTTGAAATTGATTACAAATTTATTTTCTTCAAATTTATACTCTAATGAAGTATATTCTTATGAGAATGTATAGTAATTATAAATATTCTTGTCCAACATGCAAAAGATTAAATTCTGAATTAATTGTAACAGCAAATAGTCTCTATTTACAGCTGATATTAATTTATAGTTTTTGTTAAAGATGTTGCACTCCTAGACAGAGAAGATGGAAACTTCATGGTAGATAGCACATGAGGATGAGTTGCATGTAAGTATTTGGTCATTACAATTGTACTTAAAACTATGTTAATATTTGTGAGACAATAAAAAATTGGTCTAAAATTTCTTTTATTCAAATTTAGACTCTAATGAGGTATATTTTAATAAGAATGTATAGTTATTGTAAATTAATTGTCCCTAATTTAAGATTTGACATGACACATGCATCACATTAATTTTTGAATTAATTGCAACAGCAAAAAGTCTCTATTTAAAGCTGAAACTAATTTAAAGTTTTTGTTTTTGTTAGATACAGCCTAAATATGTGACCGTCCTATACCATGAAAATGGTTCCATTGAAGTTCAAGAGGATGATGTTGCATGTAGGTATTTGGTCATTACAAATGTTCTTAAAGCTATGTTTATATGTGTGAGGTAATAAAAATCAGTTTTTCCTGGAATAGCAGGCAACTTTATTACAAATTGGTTTACAATTTCGTTTTTTATGCCTGTTTAAGGGACGATTATGGTATACTGCAGGAATAATTTAACTATATAGTTAAGTGGCCCTTAAAATTGGCCGGCAGCCCAAAAAATATTTGGAAATGTTTTAGTTACCATTTTAGGCAACTTCAATGTTGTCATAGCGTTTTAAAATCTGGATAAGAATGCTGTCAACGCATACTTTTTAATGCGGTGATCTTGCAAATAGGATGGATAGTCAATGGAAGAATATCACAATTTATTAATTAACAACGATTCAATTATGTCAACGTTTGGTTAACGATTTAAGCAGCGGAATGGGACCCCTCAGATACAATTATTTTTTCCTATGACACCTTCTTACGACAGCAAAAATTAAAGTAGAATTTCAAGACGTCATTATTAATTTGACTATTGTTAAAGCAGATCGCCCAGCAGTTGGATCAAAAGATGCTTTATGTCAAAATGGGTCTTGTAAAAGCAGACCTCCCCAGAGAGCAAACTTTAGATTTTGATGCAACATTGATGAATTTAATGGGCGCTGATCTCGTAAAAGCAGATCACCCAGCAGAGCCGGTTATATAATATGATGAAAACTTGTTTTATAGTAAAAAGTATTTAATTTTATGTCTGGCTCTATTTCATTATCAACCAATTTGAAACTTTATTACAAATTTATTTTCTTCAAATTTATACTCTAATGAAGTATATTCTTATGAGAATGTATAGTAATTATAAATATTCTTGTCCAACATGCAAAAGATTAAATTCTGAATTAATTGTAACAGCAAATAGTCTCTATTTACAGCTGATATTAATTTATAGTTTTTGTTAAAGATGTTGCACTCCTAGACAGAGAAGATGGAAACTTCATGGTAGATAGCACATGAGGAGGAGTCGCATGTAAGTATTTGGTCATTACAATTGTACTTAAAACTATGTTAATATTTGTGAGACAATAAAAAATTGGTCTAAAATTTCTTTTATTCAAATTTAGACTCTAATGAGGTATATTTTAATAAGAATGTATAGTTATTGTAAATGTCCCTAATTTAAGATTTGACATGAAACATGCATCACATTAATTTTTGAATTAATTGCAACAGCAAAAAGTCTCTATTTAAAGCTGAAACTAATTTAAAGTTTTTGTTTTTGTTAGATACAGCCTAAATATGTGACAGTCCTATACTATGAAAATGGTTCCATTGAAGTTCAAGAGGATGATGTTGCATGTAGGTATTTGGTCATTACAAATGTTCTTAAAGATATGTTTATATGTGTGAGGTAATAAAAATCAGTTTTTCCTGGAATAGCAGGCAACTTTATTATAAATTGGTCTACAATTTCGTCTTTTATGCCTGTTTAAGGGACAATTATGGTATACTGCAGGAATACTTTTACTATATAGTTAAGTGGCCCTTAAAATTGGCCGGCAGCCCAAAAAATATTTGGAAATGTTTTAGTTACCATTTTAGGCAACTTCAATGTTGTCATAGTGTTTTAAAATCTGGATAAGAATGCTGTCAACGCATACATTTTTAATGCGGTGATCCTGCAAATAGGATGGATAGTCAATGGAAGAATATCACAATTTATTAATTAACAACGATTCAATTATGTCAATGTTTGGTTAACGATTTAAGCGACGGAATGGGACCCCTCAGATACAATTATTTTTTGCTATGACACCTTCTGACGACAGCAAAAATTAAAGTAGAATTTCAAGACGTCATTATTAATTTGACTATTGTTAAAGCAGATCGCCCAGCAGTTGGATAAAAAGATGCTTTATGTCAAAATGGGTCTCGTAAAAGCAGACCTCCTCAGAGAGCAAACTTTAGATTTTGATGCAACATTGATGAATTTAATGGGCGCTGATCTCGTAAAAGCAGATCACCCAGCAGAGCCGGTTATATAATATGATGAAAACTTGTTTTATAGTAAAAAGTATTTAATTTTATGTCTGGCTCTATTTCATTATCAACCAATTTGAAATTTATTACAAATTTATTTTCTTCAAATTTATACTCTAATGAAGTATATCAGAATGTATAGTAATTATAAATATTCTTGTCCAACATGCAAAAGATTAAATTCTGAATTTATTGTAACAGCAAATAGTCTCTATTTACAGCTGATATTAATTTAAAGTTTTTGTTAAAGATGTTGCACTCCTAGACAGAGAAGATGGAAACTTCATGGTAGATAGCACATGAGGAGGAGTTGCATGTAAGTATTTGGTCATTACAATTTTACTTAAAACTATGTTAATATTTGTGAGACAATAAAAAATTGGTCTAAAATTTCTTTTATTCAAATTTAGACTCTAATGAGGTATATTTTAATAAGAATGTATAGTTTTTGTAAATGTCCCTAATTTAAGATTTGACATGAAACATGCATCATATTAATTTTTGAATTAATTGCAACAGCAAAAAGTCTCTATTTAAAGCTGAAACTAATTTAAAGTTTTTGTTTTTGTTAGATACAGCCTAAATATGTGACAGTCCTATACCATGAAAATGGTTCCATTGAAGTTCAAGAGGATGATGTTGCATGTAGGTATTTGGTCATTACAAATGTTCTTAAAGCTATGTTTATATGTGTGAGGTAATAAAAATCAGTTTTTCCTGGAATAGCAGGCAACTTTATTACAAATGGTCTACAATTTCGTCTATTATGCCTGTTTAAGGGACGATTATGGTATACTGCAGGAATAATTTTACTATATAGTTAAGTGGCCCTTAAAATTGGCCGGCAGCCCAAAAAATATTTGGAAATGTTTTAGTTACCATTTTAGGCAACTTCAATGTTGTCATAGCGTTTTAAAATCTGGATAAGAATGCTGTCAACACATACATTTTTAATGCGGTGATCCTGCAAATAGGATGGATAGTCAATGGAAGAATATCACAATTTATTAATTAAGAACGATTCAATTATGTCAACGTTTGGTTAACGATTTAAGCAGCGGAATGGGACCCCTCAGATACAATTATTTTTTGCTATGACACCTTCTTACGACAGCAAAAATTAAAGTAGAATTTCAAGACTTCATTATTAATTGGACTATTGTTAAAGCAGATCGCCCAGCAGTTGGATAAAAAGATGCTTTATGTCAAAATGGGTCTCGTAAAAGCAGACCTCCCCAGAGAGCAAACTTTAGATTTTGATGCAACATTGATTAATTTAATGGGTGCTGATCTCGTAAAAGCAGATCACCCAGCAGAGCCGGTTATATAATATGATGAAAACTTGTTTAATAGTAAAAAGTATTTAATTTTATGTCTGGCTCTATTTCATTATCAACCAATTTGAAATTTATTACAAATTTATTTTCTTCAAATTTATACTCTAATGAAGTATATTCTTATGAGAATGTATAGTAATTATAAATATTCTTGTCCAACATGCAAAAGATTAAATTCTGAATTAATTGTAACAGCAAATAGTCTCTATTTACAGCTGATATTAATTTATAGTTTTTGTTAAAGATGTTGCACTCCTAGACAGAGAAGATGGAAACTTCATGGTAGATAGCACATGAGGAGGAGTTGCATGTAAGTATTTGGTCATTACAATTTTACTTAAAACTATGTTAATATTTGTGAGACAATAAAAAATTGGTCTAAAATTTCTTTTATTCAAATTTAGACTCTAATGAGGTATATTTTAATAAGAATGTATAGTTATTGTAAATTAATCGTAAATTAATTGTCCCTAATTTAAGATTTGACATGAAACATGCATCACATTAATTTTTGAATAAATTATACCCACGCTTTAAAAAAGTGGGGGTATACTGTTTTACCACTGTCTGTCTGTGCATCCATCTGTCTGTCCGTCCATGCATCAGTCAGTCCGTCCGTCCGTCTGTCCGTCCGTCCCATGAAAATTTATCGTCGCATTTTTCTCAGGAACTACAATACAAGGATTTCTTAAATTTGGTTTCAGGGTTTATATAAGTCGGCTATGCCATGTGATGCTTTTTCAGATTCATCACTCAACAACTTCCTGTTTACCGAACACTTGTATCATTTTACATGTGATAGCCAAGTTGAAAATTTTCGGCACGTTTTTCTCAGGAACTACAATACAAGGATTTTTGAAATTTGGTTTCAGGGTTTATATAAGTTGGCAATACTGTGTGATGCTTTTTCAGATTCATCACTCAACAACTTCCTGTTTACCGAAATATTTGGTTTCACTTGTTTCAACAGCCAATAAATATTCTCTTTTTAAAGCTGATACTAATTTAAAATTTTTCTTTTGTTAGATACAACTCAAATATGTTCCACTCCCACACAATGAAGATGGTTTCATGGTAGATAGATAGCACATTGGGATTAGTAGCATGTAGGTATTTGGTCATTACAATTGTACTTTTAACTGTTTATATGTGTTGGGTAATAAAAAATCAGTTTTCCCTAATAGTAGGGTGCCCAATGTCCAAAAAGTCCTCTTTAAGTTAACGGATAACACACGGCTGATTTTTTTGCACATTATAGGAAAATCATTATATTTTACAATCTTGATTGTCGTCGTAAGTTCCCGTGGTCACGATTTTCTAAATTTCGTGTTTTTACAGGGTACCACCAGATACCGTATTGTACGGGGAATCTTTAACATGAAAAATAAAATTATTGCGTTCTTTGTTGGTAGTTAAAACAGTACCTATAATATAGTTTATATATTGAATATATCATATAACGAAATCGGAAAGTATTTAAGTGATTTTGATATAAGTATTTCAGCATTTTAGTAAGAGTAAAATTTTACCCGAAATTTACCCTATTTTCATCGAAAGCAAAATTATTACGTGTATCATCACAATATTTTTTACTCTGATTTAAGCAATAAGACACAGTGCATGTGTGTGCCAAATTGCATGCGTGAAATAAAAATCGTTTTGAAGAAATAAGCAATTAAAAACACAAATTAAGTCAACATTTTGGTATTAATTAAACACGGATTATCTCGTGCCATTAATCATTTTGTTGCTTACACTATTAGGTCATTAACAAGGACAAAGGTCACTCAAAACATTTGTCTTTTTTGCTTGTTGTGTGGTTGATTTATTTGTTGTGAATAGCCAGCTAACTTTATAGATTGTCACTTTGTTCGGAGAAATCTGTTTTGTGTCTGTTTTTCAAAACTTTAAACTTTTTATTGAATAAATAATTTGTTATAATTGTAGTATAAGAATCAAATCGGTCGGTTTTGTTTCACACCCGGAATATGGCACATCAAAAGTCTTGTATGATGTTTTCGACCTAAATCCCTCTCGGTGGGAATGACAACAAAAATATACCACCGTTCGTGCAACAACAAAAAAAAAAGGATACAACAGACAGCAACCAACGACAACCACTTAATTGCAGGCTCCTGATTTTGGACAGACATATACAGAATTTAGAGGAGTTAAACATGTTTGTGATCCTTCAACCCTTCCCTGACCTGGACAATGGTATAACAACACAGCATAAGAAAAATCTGCTGAAAAACAGTTTGAAATGGCTTGACTTATAAATCGGCATGAACTTCATGCCATGAAGCACAAAAACAACCAACATGAAGACAAAAAACACAAAGTACCGATATAATAGTACTCGCCGTTAGGGTAGAACATTTTATATTCTGAAGAAAGGGATGGGGCTGGCGGCACGAAAATTTATATTCACTTTTGTACACATTCATATCCTCAACTATCCTGCATTTCATGTTGAAGAGTGTTCATTCTCATCCTGTCTTGTGCAAAGTCAATTATTTCAGTTCATACCAGGCATAGGCGGATCCAGGGGGCCCGGGCCCCCCCCCCTTTTCGTGGGAAAAATTTGGTTGATTATATAGGGAATCACTGAAGCGTGACTGGAGAGGGCCCCCCCCTTAGGTCAGTCAGCGGGCTCCCCCTTACAAAAAGTTCGGGATCCGCCACTGCCAGGCCAAGTAATTCATTTTCAAAATCCCCATATCCTCCCTGTTTTCGAAATCAAATGGGTGTTCCCTTACTGAAAACTAATGAAAGGACGTCATCAATAGTTTGAGAAAAGTATGATCATAAACATCATAACCGTAAAAAATAGCTTTTGTTATAAATCAGGCCGTTATTTTTTTTTTTCAAATGAATTTTTTCATTTTTTTCATAACTGGCCTTTTTATAGCCGACCATACGGTATGAGTGTTTCACATTGTTGAAGGCTGAACGGTTGCCTATAATTGCTTGCTTCCATATCTCCTAATTTTTATATTATACAACAAGTATTACATAAAATTAACACTATCAATGTTTCATGTAAATGAGGCAAGGTCAGATGAACTCTGCCATAAAATCACGTACACCTTGTTACCATTTCATACACCAAATATATTTAACCCACTACTATCTGAGACTGTACGGACTTGACCACTGAAACTTAACCTTATTCACTGATCCGTGAAATTAGGTCGAGGTCAGGTGAATCATGTCTGACGGTCACATATATTACCATATATTAGTAACCAAATATAGTTATCCTAGAACTCGTGATAATTGAGACATTCACATGACGAAAAAAGCTATACAGTTTTTTAGCAGTCACTTAACCATGAATATGAGGTCAAGGATAATGATTATATGATGGAAACTTCATAACACAATGGATCTATATACAAAGTATGAATCATCCAGTTCCTCTGCCCTCTGAAATATAAAGCTATACAAATAGTTTACGGTGTTGCCGCCGCCACCAACAGATTGTATTCTGTATGCCTCGCATTCTGTTACTTGAGTCGAATGCGATTTAAAAAAGAACAACTGAAATTAGCTCTCTTACCTAAACCTAGTCGATGGGCTTTCAAATTAACAGTAGACAATGAAACGTAATAGCTATACTACTAGCTTCGGTAATTTTTCTCTGTTCTTTCGCTCTTATTAATATTCTGATCTTTATTAACTCACGTGCTCTTTATATATAAGCTCAAATGAGGATAAATTCTCATTTTGTTTTCATAACTTGTATCATAACCCGTCCCCCTTTTTCACCGTTTGCAGTTTTTTTTTTTTTTTTTCTGTAAAGCAAATATATACTCAGACCTGCTAATTCAATCAATTCTGCGTTAATATTCATCAGTTTTCGAACTAAGTGCTATTTGATGTGCTTCCACGTTCATCAAAAGAAGATTTGATATTTACCCAGAAAATCACGACGAACACCTTCTATCAAAAGACGGAAAAAATAACATTTTGGGAGGGCAACTTATAAATGTTAATATCTAAAAAACATCTCTAAAGATCACTTGTATCGAATCTTATGTAAAAATTCCGATTTTGGGACTTTTAAAAGGTCAAGGTCACTGTTATTTAACAGCTGAATGAAAATTGTAAATGTACACCCTATTAGTACAAATGTCAATCTCGAACCATATTTGGCAATAAAATTATCAAATTAGTCCTAAATATAAAAACTTTATTTATAATATTTTGATTTATTTGAATTTATTTTGCTATAAACGCAAATATGCAGGGGTGGCCAGCTGTCTAAACGTGACTCTACGTTTTCCTTGAAATTTAAGATTTGACCTTTGACCCAAATTTAAGAAAATCGTGACCACTGTACACAACGACGACATCAATATTTCTACGAGGCTTGTTCTCCTCTTTCCAATGATATAAAATATAGCCGTGTGTTATTCCGTTAACCCAAATCGATCAAATTTGTTGACTGGGCACCCTACTATAACTAATGAAGTATATTTTAACAAGAATGTGTAGTAATTGTAAATATACTTTGTGTCCAATTTAGGATTTGATATTTATTTTATAATTGATTGCAACAGCCAATAGTCTCTATTTAAAGCTGACAGTAATTTATAATTTTTGTTTTTATAACAGTTACAGCCTTAATATGTTACACTCCTAGACAATGAAGATGGTTTCATGGTAGATCGATTGCATATGAGGATCAGTAGCATGTAGGTATTTGGTATTACTTTATGTTTATGTGTCTGGTAACAAAAATCAGTTTTCCCTGGAACAACAGCTTAAATTAGATTTTATTACAAATTGGTCTAAAATTTCTTTTATGCAAATTTATACTCATATAGTATATTTTGATGAAAATTTATAGAAATTGCTTATATACCCCTCTTCAAATTAGGATTTGACATAAAAAATGCATCATATCAATTTTGAATTAATTGTGACAACCAATTTTCTATATTTAAAGCTGATACTGATTTAAATTTTTATGTTTTTGTTGCAGATACAGCCTAAGTATGTTACACTCCTTGACAATGAAGATGGTTTCATGGTATATAGCACACGAGGATAAAGTAGCATGTAGGTATTTGCTCATTATAATTGTACTTTTAACTCTTTTTATATGTGTTATTTAACAAAAATCAGTTTTTCCCTGGAACAACTTGAAATGTTATTACAAATTGGTCTAAAATTTCTTTTATTCAAATATTTACTGTAATGAGGTATATTTTGATAAGAATTAAGTAAAGTAATTGTAATTATACTAGTCTCGAATTTAGGATTTGACATAAAACATGCATTACATAAATTTTTGAATTGATTGCAACAGCAAAAAGTCTTGATTTAAAGCTGATACTAGTTTACAATTTTTGTTTTTGTTACAGATACAGCCTAAATATGTTAACAATCCTCGACAATGACGATGGTTTCATTGTAGATAGCACATTAGGATGTGTCGCATGTAGGTATTTATTCATAACAATTATTGTTCTTTAAACTATGTTTATATTTGTAAGGTATTAAAATCAGTTTTCACTGAAACAACAGATTGAAGCTTTAGAACAAACTGGTCTACAATTTCTTTTATTCAAATTTATTCTTTAATGAAGTATGTAGAGTAATTGTAATTATTATACTTCATGTCAAAATGGCAGATTTTGATTGGTTAATACGAGGGAGACAATTTACTCTATGCTATGGCAAATACTCTATTACCCTTCACGGAGACGCTTGATCAAGTGTGCGCTTTATTAAATACGGATGGTTATGTACAAGACGTCATAGTTTATTTCTTTGAATTTGAAATTTAATAGACTAATAACAGAACATTCAGTATAATAAATTAAATAACGCATATCTGAGAGGATGATAGAGCAGATTGTTACCCCTCGAAAAGACATTTCGGGGTAACAATCTGCTCTATCACCCTCTCAGCTATGTGTTATTTATATAATATATGTCTCCAATTAAGGATTTGACATAAAACATGCATCACATTAATTTCTGAATTGATTGAAGCAGCATAAAGTCTTGATTTTGAAGCTGAAACTTAATTTATAATTTTTGTTTTTGTTGCAGATACAGCCTAAATATGTAACGCTCCTATACCATGAAAGATGCTTCCATTGTAGAAGGCACATTAGGATGAATCACATGTAGGTATTTGGTCATTACAATTGTTCTTAAAACTATGTTTGTATTTGTTAGGTATTAAAAATCAGTTTTTCCTGGAACAACAGCTTGAAATTTTATTACAAATTGGTCCTACATTTCTTTTATTGAAATATTCACTGTAAATGAGGTATATATTAAAATAAGAATGTAAAGTGATTGTAAAAACACTTGTCTCCAATTTAGGATTTGACATAAAACATGCATCACATTAATTTCTGAATTGATTGCAACAGCAAAAAGTAGATTTAAAGCTGAAATTAATGAATAATTTTTGTTTTTGTTACAGATACAGCCTACATATGTAACACTCCTATACCATGAAAGATGCTTCTATTGTAGAAAGCACATTAGGATGAATCACATGTAGGTATTTGGTCATTACAATTGTTCTTAAAACTATGTTTGTATTTGTTAGGTATTAAAAATCAGTTTTCCTGGAACAACAGCTTGAAATTTTATTACAAATTGGTCCTACATTTCTTTTATTGAAATATTCACTGTAAATGAGGTATATTTAAATAAGAATGTATAGTGATTGTAAAAACACTTGTCTCCAATTTAGGATTTGACATAAAACATGCATCACATTAATTTCTGAATTGATTGCAACAGCAAAAAGTAGATTTAAAGCTGAAATTAATGAATAATTTTTGTTTTTGTTACAGATACAGCCTACATATGTAACACTCCTATACCATGAAAGATGCTTCCATTGTAGATAGCACATTAGGATGAGTTCCTGTATAGATTGACCGTGTTAACTCGTTTTAGTTAGTTGTTCCTTGCTGGCGGGGTCGTCTATGATAGAGATTTTTCCATGATTTGGTATTGCACATAAAATACAATGAAATGCTCATCAATTTTAAATGTTACGATTTTCTTTCTGTATTATACTATATATGCTTATCCTTGTTTGCATGATTATTATTTTGATAAAGATAAAATCTGATGTCTAGGTTATTGGCAATATGAATATATTGTTTGTTTTGTTTAAGCCTATATATTTATTGGAAAGATTCGTAAATGAAATTTATTTGACAAAACCAAAGATTGGATTTGTATGTACTATACAAATCCTTGACAAAACCTATGTTACATCTCATTATACCCCTTCAATGGTGATGCACATGTCCACCCATCCTTTTGTCCTGTCTCAAGTTTGCTTTCTACTGATGAATGACAATTTGCCTACTGTCATGGACAACAATAAAATGCAGGTCAAGTTTGATTTTGAAGATTTTGAAATTTATCTTTGAATAAGGCATACATGAGTTACCTTTAGAGGTGTAATACCACAAAATAATGGCAAAATCAAAAGCTCAAACACACCAAACGAATGGATAACAACTGTCATATTCCTGACTTGGTACAGGCATTTTTTTATGTAGAAAATGGCGGATTAAACGGGTTTGATAGCTAGCTAAACCTCTCACTTGTATGGCAGTCGCATAAAATTCCATTATATTGACAACGATGTGTGGCCAAAACAAATAGACATAATAGGTAAAAATGTCAAAAATAGGGGTACAGCAGTCAACATTGTGTCATAATCTTAATTACTATAAAACAAAAACAAGAATATGTAATAAAGAAACGCAAAAAGGCATATAGACAAAACACAACAGCAAAAATGCGAGACAAGAATACAAACACTAGTAACCCGACGTTAGCTTGATCGGCCAAAAAGGTATTAACGCTATCAAGGATTTTTGTATAGTAATACTATACAAATCCTTGACGCTATTTAAAAAAGATTAATGAAGATTTGATAAAGATTGACAAAAATTAAAAATTGTTTTTAATCCATTTCAATCCATATCAAATTATTTTAATGCCAGTCAAATAGATTCCCTTGTTGTCATTCAAGTTAGTTTCAGATGTGGTTAAGCTGTGTCGAACTAATTGGCCACATCCCCGTTAAACCATTTTAAAATGCCTTTAATTCGTATTAAACAGTGTTTGTACAGGTAAATCACTAAAGCAAAACAAACCCGATGTGTCTATCGTTTATTTGTTTCAAACTTAATCGATTTTAGATATAATACTAAGTAAAGTAACATGCTTCAAAATTAAAATAAATGTAAGAAAATTAAAAAAACTTTGAAATATCGATGCTTGATTAAAAAAATGCAAAAATTGTGAATCTGTTAAAAATAAAATAGTAAGATATATAACATAATTTTAATTTGCCCAAATGCAGTAGCTCTTTATCTCACATTTTTCGTTTCAAAGATTGCTAACTGATATGAAAACTCGTGGCAAGTAAAGTGTGGTTTCTTACAAATACTTGCGAAAAATAAAAAACAGGAAAGAGAATTAGAAGGTCGTAATTGCACTCATTGGCGCGAAGTGAAAGATGCTTTAAAAAAATTATAAAATAAATAGATTGAAATAAATTTGTGAGGTGAAATGATCACTTTAATTTCTGTCAAAATTTGTCCTTATTATATGCGTAGAATTAATGTATTCCTGTATATTTACCTTTTCTTTTTTTCTGTTTTCCTATATTGTAATCGTTATTTTAATATATAGACACGCACGTAAAAGGAACAGACATTATTCATTGTGTACATAATTTAGATCAATGCATCTTATATTTTAGGTTAAAAAAAAACATTTACAATTAAAATGTCAATTGTTCTTGAACAATTGAGAGGTCTTTCCTTTTCATAATGTAAAATATATGTTTCAATAGGCGTAGAATGCACTGAAAAGCTCTTTAACACACTTAAAACCCTTTAAATATGACAAAAACACATAATCCGCTATTTGGGACATGACCTTGACTTTGACCTTCTGACCTTGGTCAAGGTCATTGGTCCAGGATGTCATTTCAAAAGACCCCATGGGTCTAGGACCTTTGGTTCAAGAGTAAAAGCTAATTTTGTCTTTTCAGAAACAGTTAATTGGGGTTATGCCCCTTACAGATAGGTCAAATCTCTTTGGTCATAATGTAAAAAAGTTTTGCCTCTATGACCCAAACATTTTTCACTATTTACTATTTCTGTAAGTATAATCGTTTATGAGATATCCAATGAAAAGTGGTTAGGTCAAAGGTCAAGGTCAACCTTAAAGCTTTAAAACACACTGAAAATCCTCAAAAGGTCAAAAACACATAATTTGTTTTCTGAGACATGACCTTGACCTTTGAGCTTGTGACCTTCGTCAAGGTCATTGGTCCCAACTGTCATTGCTGAAGACCCCATGGGTCTAGGACCTTTGGTTATATAGTAAAAGCTGATTTTGTCTTTTCAGAAACCTGAAATAGGGGTTATGCCCCTTACAGAAAGGTCAGATTTCTTCCATCAAAATGTAAAAAAGTTGCGCCTTATTGACCCAAACATTTTCCACTACTCAAAACTTCTGTAAGTATAATGGTTTCTGAGATTATCCCATAACAAGGTGTAAGGTCAAAGGTCAAGGTCAACATACAAATTTGACCTTGGGGCATTTTCAAAGTCACATAAATTGATGATCATTGGTGAAATCCTAGGTGGCTACGACTTACGGTTTCTGAGTTTTAGTGGCCAACCGACTTCGGTTAATTTTCATAGGGGCATAACCCTACCAATGAGTCGTTGAATCTTTTTGATCCAAATGTAACGAAGAACCTCGGTCTGGTCATGAACAAATTTCACCCTTCGGTTTTTTTGTACCTATTATGGTTACGGTGTTTGAACGATAACAAGGTTTTTAGGTTTCGGAGGGATAACTCAGGACCGACAAAATTTTACGACTCGCAGGGTGAGTTCCGGATAGGTATTTATGACACCGATACAAAGTGTGAACATGAAAGCGACACGTCTTTCGGTTAAGGCTGCTAACTTCGTCAAAGTTTGGCGGAAAAAGAATAATAATAAACAGAAGAAATACAGTAAGGTCTTTCCCTTTTGAAAAAGGAAAGACCTTAATTATACCGACATTTAAAAATAGCTTGTAGTTAAAAACAATTTGTTGTTAAATATATCATTGATATAGATAATGTTGACATTTGTTGAATTCATTTAGTAAACAGTTTAGTCTTGCTAAAAATTGTAAATAAAGTAACAGCTCAATGAACTTTTCAAACTGTGTAAAATTGTAATACCGGTCACTGGTGCAAAACGTGCGTTAATTGTGGAAAAGCAGCAAATGTCAAGCGAAAATTGAATCGTAGTTACGAAGGGGTTATCGTGCTGTCCACACGTAAAAGAAATCTTGCAATAAATGAACATGAATTCTGTGAAAATATGAGTAAAATTTCAGTCTGCGATAATGATGGGTGGGTTTAACGACCTTGACTGGCTATTAAGCCCTCGCACGGTCGGCCCTGGCTTACGCCATTTGATGCATTTAAAAAACTTCTGTTTACGTTTGCGGCATTTAATATAATTATACAGACCAAGAACATAAGCATTGTAAACTGACAAGAATAGAAATGAAACATTTCCGCAATGTTGCTGTCATATAATTTGATTAATAAAATTGAGAATGGAAATGGGGAATGTATCAAAGAGACAACAACCCGACCATAGAGCAGACAACAGCCCCTATATTTTAGCAGTAATTATTGAATAAAAATTAATTGGCTGTTCCAAGGATTTGGCTGTTCTGGTTCTAAATAAAATATTTCATCTTTGTGCTCTCGTTGAAGTCCGCGTTACATATTCAAATGAATTTCATTGGTCGGAACGTTTGCAAACTTTCAATCCAGGTGTTCTCATAGAAGTCCGCGTTCATTCTTCAATAGGATACCAGAGGATACACAATATTGTAAAAATTTTCAATCCGTTTTTCTCTAGGCTGTCCGCGTTAACAAAAATAATTTAGAAAAATAACACACTTACAAAGCATAATTACTTTCTACTGATGAACAATACTACTTTATTAGAATAAAATTCAAGCAGACAAAAGCCTGTTGTATTTGTCACAAATATATGGTCGATTTCAAATGTATGCATGATATTTTTTTATTAGTTGTTAGTGGCTTTGAACTAGCTGTCAGTAACTGCGAGTACTCTCAGATCTGTACATAGTGTCTTTTTGTCACAGTGTATGGATGTGCAAGTACCCGACCACGTCCACTTGTATTTGTAGCATTTGTATTTTTATCCATCTGATGAGTTAAGCCTTTCAACTGATTTTTTTATAGTTCGTTCTTATGTTGTACTGTTGCACCACTGTCCCAGGTTAGGGGGAGGGTTGGGATCCCGCTAACATGTTTAACCCCGCCACATTCTGTACTGATGTATGTGCCTGTCCCAAGTCAGGAGCCTGTAATTCAGTGGTTGTCGTTTGTTTATGTGTTACATATTTGTTTTTTGTACATAAATTAGGCCGTAAGTTTTCTCGTTTGAATTGTTTTACATTGTCATTTCTGGGCCTTTTATAGCCGACTGCGGTATGGGCTTTGCTCATTGTTGAAGGCCGTACGGTGACATATAGTTGTTATTTTCTGTGTCATTTGGTCTCTTGTGGAGAGTTGTCTCGTTAGCAATCATACCACATCTTCTTTTTTATATTATATTACAATAAAGACTTATTTACTTATGCTGAATAGCTATAATATAAGACATAGCTGGAAACAGTATCATAAAGAAAAAAATAAGTAGCTTGAAATAACTGCGAGTACTCAAACCCTACCACGGCCGGTCTGTGCTATGATACACATGATACATGCAGTACAATGCTAGTTTCAGTTATATTTGATAACTAAATAGGCAATCACAATACATGTCATACCAGTGGCGGATCCAGAACTTTTTGTAAAGGGGCCCACTTACTGACCTAAGTGGGGCCCGCTCCAGTCATGCTTCAGTGATTCCCTATATAATCAACCAAATTTTTCCCACAAAAAGGGGGGGGGGGGGGGGGGGGCAGGCCCCCCTTGGATCCGCCTATGCATACATGTATCTTTTTTTCAAAACAAATATGCAACGAAAATACTTACAATTTTCAAAACAAGACAGATAATCACAATTCACCAAGGACGTA